TGGCATCGTTGGATAGAGAATTGAAAACTCGATTCAGTCGTAACAACGTGAGTGAGGAAATTCGAGTAGTTTTGACCCAGAAAGCCAAATTTGAAAATCACACACTTAGGTGCAAGATTATGCCAAAATTTTATGTTTTTCGTCCGATTTTTGCTCATTTCTCAGTGGCAAAATGAGCAAGAACGCTCATTTGTAAATCATTCTAGAGATAAATAAATGGCCTTTTTAGAAAGTGAATCATGGATGGCGAAATGTTGGCAGTTTTCTCAAAAATGCTTGAATTCAAGAAGTTTTAGATTTGCGTGGGTTTTTCTGAGTTGCAAAATCCACTTGTACATAACGCTGCTTTTTTAGAAGTTCCTCAAGAACCATTCGAGCCACAGAATTCGTTTTGGCATCGTTGGATAGAGAATTGAATGGGGGGCTCATGTACCCCAAGACTCCTCCCCCCTGGATCCGCCTTTGTCTAGAGAACCAATTTCTATGCAGTTTTCCAGCTGGAAGCTTTGACTATTTATGCCCTAATTTGAGATAGAGGGGCTCTTTTGATTAATGTTTGGAAATTTTTTTGGGCACACTTGAAAAAAGCGTTTTTGTATTCAAAAATATTTGGGGAATTTTTTAATTGACTTTTTCGTTTGGCTGAAAAAGTCGTTTTTTAAAATTCAACACCAGAAGCATCATCAAGCTAGACCAGATTCGCCTTTAAAATAAATGTCAAAAAAGTCATCAACATTTTCCCAGCAACAAAACTGAGTTACTGCGCCGGTGCGCAGGGTTGGCGCCAAGCCATTGGCGCCAACTCCTTAATATTCTCTGAGTTAGTTCCCAGGCCTACTGGAATCAGCCAATAATTACCCTCCCAATAGGGGTGGCGACATCTAAGTCCCCAACTGCAAACATTCAATAATGATTAGAAAAACCTTCGGTTTCCATATTTTAGGCGCATTCAGCAAAACTTCTAATGCATCCGACAACAAGAATGTATTTACAAAACAGTTACATCTAGTCTACTCGAAGTTCACCATTTTGGTGACGGGAACGCCCGGACCGGAAACGATTTCCTTCCAAAACGGCTCCTCAGTGCTAACCTCGATCACTCCCAGTAGGGTTTTCTTCTTGAAGATGTTCTTCGCCATCAGTCTTATCACAATTTTCACCTGCTTCAGCATGTAGCTGTTCACAGTCGCCCGAAGAGTGGCCGAATTCGCTTCCAGCTTCAGGCTGATGGTCGGTTCGAAGCAGTCGCTCTTCTTCGACTGGATGATGTCGTCACTTTCAAACGCCTGGATCTTTATGTACAGCTGCCCTGGAAAAACCATCTTCACCCCGTTCTTTTCCAGCATTTTAGAGGTTTTACCTCCAACTCGCTCATGCTCCTGCATAGTTTGCAAACTGCATCGGAACTTGGTCACCGTAATCTCCACCACATCGTTCGTTCCATCCTCACTAACTGCATATTGCAGTGTCAGTTCTATGCAGCCTTTTTTGCCTTCTCTCTGAAAAATCCGGCTTAATTAATTGCAAGTCAGCCATACAATTGGATAATTCACTTACAGGTTGCGTCTGGATCCCACTGGTGATTTCCTTCACACTCCTCCACACATCTGGAGTGCTGATTACGTAACCGTTGAGGTTTTGCGTGAAATTCTTGCGCTCGATATTGTAAGTCACTGCTCCGATTGTTCGTCGATCTTTCATAGAGTTTCTGGAAATAGAACCAGAGGAGTTTTGATCCAAACAATCGCAACAACTGCCGACTTTTAAGCTCCTACACCTACCTAAAACTCCTTCGACTAAAACTCCTATTGACATTATTCCGCGAGAACTGACTATTCTCGTCAAAGGAGAAAAACCTCCTCATCACGCCCTTTTCGTGCTTCACCTGCTGGTCCTCCTTGTTCTCCTCCAAGGTGGCGTAGATGGTGAACGAGATGAAAACTCCTTTGAGCAGATCTCCCGAGCGTTTGCCCGAGTTGGCGAGACTGAAGGCAAACTCCTCATTTATCGTCGGCCAGTTGTCCTTTATCGTTTTCGTTTCGAACTTCTCCTTCAGCGGAAACACGGTAACCTGCAGAAAAGTTAATATTAGACTAAATTCGAGGTTTTATGTTCAAATATTTACAGAGTGTTTAATCACGCTGTCGTTAACACTAGAGACTTTACTTGTAAGCAATCAGGCAATTAACATGAGGTTTTATGTTTTGAGCCCACTTTCAACTTTGCAACAGCATGCTCTTCATGGAAGTCCTTAAAAAGCTCAACAGTTCAATTGGGACCCCGAAAAGTGCGTCAATGTTTACGTTTATTAATTACTCCGAAACGACGCTGCAATGTTTTATGGTCTAATTTAAATGGGAATAATTATGCAAAGCTGTTTGCTAATAGAAATCACTGTGGGTTTATGGTGCTGATGACGCCAGAGAATTTAGTGAATGAGTTTGCGCTTCCAAGCAGATCTCGAAAAATTAGAAGTAGATAAAGCCTTAGTTTATGGGTCTGCGAAGTTTTTCAAAACCAAAAACATCTTCAACATCTTAACTGGCCACTTTGCATGTCGAATTTCTAGATGTAGGTGCAGAAAGCGTTGGTTTATATGCGTGTTAAATTTCGCGGAAATCGGCTTTAGGGTTGGTTTTTAGCAATTTTTAAGGGGCGTTAAAGGCCCGAAAGAGTGAAAAATGCGCAGTTGGCCTTAAGAACCACAGCTCCCAAACGACAAGCTTTTGAAACCTGAAATTTGGCCTTATGAGGAAAAGACCTTGAGCGAACAGTGTACAAAATTACAGCCCCGTGAGATTTGTAGTTGATTTTTCAGCAATTTTAACATAGCGCTTTAAAGACTAGAAAGAGTGAATATTCACTAGAGCGCACACTTGCTTAAACTCGCAACTCGCATAACTCTCCAAAAATGGATTTAAAGGCCACGGTTCTTGATTTATCGGGAAAAGCGATTTTCTTCGGAAATGAGTTGAGTTTGAGCACCTGCAAGCCTGTTGCGTTTTTTGACTCGCGCTTAAAAGCGCTGGAAGCGACGCGACTTAGCGCAATTTTTCATTCAAAAATCCGACTTGCCAACACGCGACTTCTTGAAAAGGAAAATTTTAACGCTTTGCGTTCAAAAAGCCTTAGGCTATTAATGTACCAAATTATAACCCAATGGAAATTGCAGTTGATTTTTCAGTGAGCTTTAAAGGCTTGAAGGAGCGCGAGAGCGAAATCTGTGAAGCGCAAGCTCTCCTCAAAAACTCCTCAACTTAGTGCTCTATAAGGCTGAAATTTAGGACCTATATTTAGAAGGCTTTAGTTTATCGGCTTATGCAGTTTCAGTTGAGTGGGGCCTTTTGTTGAGATGTGAAGATTTTTTTCAATTGGCCGTCCTAGCGATGAGGCTAAAGCGACCATAGCGCACAAGTTTACAAAAAAACTCTGACGTGCCAAAGGGCGGTTTTTTGAAAAGGAAAACTTTGGATTTATATACAAAAAACTTTGGACTATCGATGGGCAAAGTTACGGCCCACTGAAGGTTTAGGTTGATTTTTCAGCGGCTTTTTAAGTGAGCCTCAAATGCTTGATGAAGTGAGGAACCTTAAAACGCAAGTTGGCCTTAAAAATCGGAACTCCCCAAAGCAAGGCTTTAGAATGCTGAAATTCTGGATTTATGTGTAAAATGCTTTAGCTTATATGCAAATTCAGTTTCAGCTGAGTGGAGATTTTGCTTGAATTTGGAACATTTTTTCAATCAGTGTGCCGATCGGGGAAATTGACGCTGCTAGAGCGCACAAGTGCATAAAAAATCTAACTTGCCAATAAGCGACTTTTTGAATAGGGGATTTTTGGATTTACGTGCAAAAGACCTTTGGCTATCAAAGTGCGAAATTACAGCCCATTGAAAAGCTCGGTTAATTTTTCAGGGGCTTTTTAAGTGAGTTTTCAAGGGTTGAAGGAGTGAAGAATCTCTGAAAAAAGCCTTAAAATTTCCAGCTGCCGAAGACAAAACTCTAGAAGGCGGAAATTTTGGATTTATTTGCAAAAGGCTTTAGTTTACCTGCACATGTAGGTTTAGTTGCGTTGCGATTTTCGTTGAGGTCTGAAGAATTTTTTAAATGGCTTTTCAACTCAACCAGCCTATGCAACATTAGCGCACAAGTTTACAAAAAATTCTAGCGTCCAATGAAGCCCCGTTGGAGAAGAAAAATTTTTGATTTACGTACTTAGAGCCTTGGACTATTGATGTACAAAGTTACAGCCCATTGGAATTTACCATTGATTATCTGGAAATTTTTATGAAATGCCTTCAAGGATTTAAGATTGATGCGTCTTTCAAGCGCCAGTTTGTCTTAAGGGCCACAACTTGTTACAACAAATCGAAAAAGTTTGAGGCCATTAAGCCGCCCAGCAGACAGTCTTTAACGAAATGATTGATCAACAGCAATGACAAAAGAGTTGGTCTGAATAACAACAATTGCCTCATTATGGAAATTGGGCCATATTTAGCCTGTTCTGCTGACACTGAAGCGAAAAATGTACATTATCTCATCAGATAGCAGATACTAATTCCCGATAGCACTATTTTCTACTTTGCTAAATTCCATACCTTGACAACATATCCTCGCGCTTTCGAACTACCATAATCGGTGGGCAGCTGTTTGGCCCCGATCACTTTCACATTGAGCACCCCCAACGATTCACTGAAACTCACTTTGAACCCGATTTGAGGCTCACTCGGCCTGGTCCCATGCGGATCACTATTGAGGCTCAAAAAGCCTCTCAACTTGCTGATTCGCTGCTCCATTGCGGGCAGGAGAAGCGCATCCAATCACTCAATTTGAGTCAATTAACTTGACTGCACACACTCACAATTAGAACCGCAGTACCATTCAGATCCGACATCACGGTAATTATTATTAATTAATACGATCACCACTTATCTTATCTGGAAGTACCCAGGGAAGGCTGCTGAGAACTGAATGTTTACGGCGAATTTTTATGGAGGCTCGCTATATTCGGTGCACCAAACGTTAATTGATCTACCGAGACCAGTCAGTAGTTGATTAAGATTGTCTTGATCGGCCCCTGTACTGTTGAGCGAAGTTTGAGACGTTGAGGTTTGCAGCCAATTGGGTTTTGGTTTTTTTAGATGAGCATCGATAAGTCATTAAATCAAAAACACTATACAAAGATACGCTTCTATTAACCTTAAACTACTACAACACTAGAATATTTCCTTAAATACTTGACTGGGCAGCTGCGCGTCGTCCGCGTTGATCTTCAGCTGAGCTTCAGCTTTGAAGACGTTGCTGTCTCGGGTGCCCTCAGTCTCCTCCTCTTCGTCCTGTTCTTCAACCGGCTCAAAGTCCATCCGCTCCACATTCTCCACGTCAAAGGCCACCTTCTTCTTGTCGTCTGGAAGGTCCAGAGAGCGACGCCGCTCTTCGGGAATATCGGCAATCGGATCCAAAACACCCGCTTCCAGCGGGTGGCCGAAAACGAACTTCGTGGGCCTGCGGTCTGCCACACTCCTCAACCTGCAAGCAAACATTTGCTGAATTTGCTCAGGATTTGCGAAGATTTGCCAACTTTTCATTGCCGTCCTCATCAGGGTTGTCGATTTTTTCAACGTTGTCATCAAACCCGACCGTTTTCTCTGGATCTGGATCCGCATAGGAGGCGTGGTTGTCCAGGGACTCTTGGGGCAGAACGGCCGGCAGTCCAGTGGGGCGTCTCAGTGCAGCCTGGGACAATCTGGAGAATCGTTCATTATTCATGTGTGCTCTAAAAAGAGCTGAAGCAAATGCTCACTCTGCGTTGGGCTTTTTAGCTTCCCTCTTCGTGAAAATGGTGGTCCTGCTGGCAACATCTATTTCCTCCTTAGTGGTAAAGTCGGCCTGTTTGGTCCTCCTGCAAACCAGTCAAGAACTGCAGTTCAATAATAGCTCAGCAAGTTTCTGGACTGTTACCTCAGCACACAGAACCAGTAGAGGAAAACTGCCAGCAGTAGTAGAAGCAACAGCACGGCCAGTAGGGACACAGCAACAATCAGCGCTGTGCGCCCAGCATAACTGGCACCCTTCTCCGCTGAGTCAGCTAGAAAGCGCTGATTAGCTCACAGCTACGCCCACTCCCAAATTTACTCACTAGCAATATCAACAGCTACAACTGCATAAATGGTATCGTTGGTGTTCCGGTCAGTAATGGCCAGCTTCAAGGCGACCATGGAAGTGCCGTTGAGCACTTCTTCAGGCAGTTCGTCTACATCAATAGTCAGCACATGGCCCGAGCAGGTGTAATGGAAATAGGCGTTGTCAATGCCCAAATCTACATGAAGAAAATCAGTTCCTTCCATTCATGCTGGGATCCAGATGGCCTACCATTTGTGATCTCCACTGATACATCTGCGTCTTCAGTATCGTTGGCAAAATGCAGCACAATTTTCGGAGACGTGAAGCTACCATGTGTGTAGTTGGCAGTAAACAGGACCTCCTGGTTCTCCACTTGGATGGACGCGTTTCTGACCAATTTTGGCAGTGCTATCACCAGGGCAGCCGCGCTGGTCAAATCTGGGGAAAAACTCTGAGATTAAGCGAGGAGGGATCAGAACCGATGCTTACCTTGAGTTGATGTGGCCAGCAAAGTCAGCACAATGCTTGAGTTGTCGGCCAGCACGTCCTCATCCAAAGCCTTCGCCACTTCAATGCTGTACCGGTTGCTTCCCTCGTCAACCAACCGGAAACTCCCCGAGTACTCATCATATGCTGCAACAATCCTCTATAAATCCCAAGTAGCAACAGCTGAAATCTAACTTACAATCGATGGCAACATTGGAAATTGAAGCAATGTTATCGTTGGCAAACTCGATGGCAGCCCTCAGTTGAACAGCAGGTGGATCAGTGCTCAGATACTCTCCAAAGTAGGCGAAGTTGGAGAATTTGGGAGCTTCGTCTGAGTCCTGGTTGGGGAGGTTGATCACTAAGCTGGCCGTGGCCAAGACAACCCCATCGCTCTGTCGTTCAGCTACCAGGTTTGTTACCAGCACTCTGTGGTTCTGTGTTATATCGGCCGGTAGGGGAGTTTGCAACTTTAAGCTCCAAGTCTCCTCCTGGGCTTCAGCGTAAAAGAATTCCGAGTAGTCTAGAAACAGGACAATGATGGAAAATATCGAAGCCTCCCACAAATCGCTTGCCTGCTAGCTTCAGTTGGATATAATCTGGATTGGAATTGGCTAGGGCGAAAGCGTCTCCACTAACACTTGGTATGCTGTTTGCGTCCACTGTGTAGGTAGCTGAATAGACGCCCTGTGAGAAGCTGAAGCTGGGCAGTTTTATCACTAAGCTGGCCTCGCCGTAGCTGACCCCCACTTTTAAAATCGTCAGCTGTAGCTGCAGCTCGGAAAACTGGCTAAGTATAGAAGAGTTTAATGGAGAAACTGTCTCGATAGTCCATAGGGGGTCCTCCAATCGCAGCTCAAAGTGGTTGCCGAAGCCTACAAAACACGGTCAAGTTTGAGTGGAACTTCCCCATCGCAACACTCACTGTTAAGCACAATTTGGCTGTACTCCGCCTGACTGGTTTCGATGGCAGTTTCCAGCACCACATGAGGAGTATCATCAAGAACGTATTCAGCTACGTAGCTGAGAGCGCTGAATGCTATCGCACTTTTATCAGGCAGCTGAATGGCCAAGACTGCTGTTCCATACTTTTCGAGCCCTTGCTGCGCTGTTAAGGCAACAATCAAAGTGCTGTTTCCAGCTAATATGTTCGCTGGGAAGTTCCGCAGCAACGTCACTGTCCAAGTGGAGGACACCAAGGCAAACTCCAAGTAGTTCGGAAGGTCTGAAAGATCAACGTTGTTGGTGAGCTCAGACAGAGCTTTTGATGGTCAGCAACCTACCGGAGGTAATACTGATGTCATCTGAATATGAACCTTCTACAGCAATGGTCTCGAACAGTACAAGCGTTCCAAGGTCAGTAGCTGACTTTTCAATGGTGTACTGAGCGCTGTAGACCTGTCGGGTGAATTGCAGGCTGGCGTTTTTAGTGGGAAGTTGCAGCAAAAGCACAGCTTTTCCAGTGCTGGATTGATCCTCATTGGACGCTGTGAGAGTGAGGAGGAGCTCCTTGGCTACCAAAGTGCTTGAGTTCAGTTCAGCGTCCACAGAGATGGCGCATTGAAACGAAGTGGCGTCGCAAGACCCACTCAAGTAGCTCTCATATCCTGCAATATTCATCAAATAACTCAGATTTTTTACTTTGATGTTCAGCTACCGTACCTGGAACCGTCAGCTGAGTGTATGCAGACTTTTTAACCAGAATTGGGCTGAGCAGCCGCACAGAATCGGTCCCATCTGCGCTGACCACATACTCAGCTTCGTAGTAATTGCTGTCGAAGACCTCGTCGCTGTAAAGTGGCAGCTTCAGGATCAGAACTGAGGAAGTGTTGTCGCCTGATGTCGTGTCTTGTGCCGTCAGAACAATGAACAGCTCAGTAGATAGCGACAGCACTGAGTCCTCTAAAGGACTATTGACTTTGATTCTATAGCTTTTCTCCTCAGAATCAGACTGCAGTGCGAAGTAATCGTCGAAATCTGCAAAGCAATGATGAGGAAAAGCCCGAAGCACAGTGAACGTTAGCTGAATACCTCCCAAGGAAAATTTCAGCGTGGAATAGCCAACAGCGGTTAAACTAATATAGTCGTCCAGCTTGATGGAAGGCTCAGCTGCAGCTGAGTAGCTGCCAGTGTAGTACTGCTGATCGAATTTCATGCTCCTTTCAATAGCTGGGACGTTCAGCACTAAGACGGTGCTTCCACTGGCGTCGCCCGATGTTGTTGACGCCATGATGTTGATGATCAGCGTCTGTTCGGACGCATTCAGATTCTTCAGCAGTTGAATCGTGTAGGAACCGGCGTTTGGAACCAGTTTCAAGTAGCTTTCATAATCTGAAATGATAAGTTTTCTTGTGCAAAAGTGGGGCGCAATTTTAGCGTTGATAGTTTAGGAAAATACTCTACCTTCATAGGAGAATTGCAGATCTTCATAGTTGGCATTCTGTAGCGATAGGCTAATTGGGCCATCGTTGAGTGAGACTGTGTCCAAGCCCCCAGCAGAACTCCTCACATACTCAGCTGAGTAATGAGTTTTCTCAAACTTGATACTGGACGTCTTGGCAGGCAAGCTTAGAACTAGAACTGTGTCAGCTACAGCCTGGTTGCTGGAATTGTAGGCGGTCAC